GCCGGCAATGTGCGCTGGCAGCCCAGAAAGCCAACCGTATCCTGGGCTGCATCAAAAGGAGCGTGGCCAGCACGTCGAGGGAAGTGATTCTGCCCCTTTGCTCTGCTCTCCTGAGACCCCACCTGGAATACTGTGTTCAGCTCTGGAGTCCCCAACACAAGAAGGACATGGAGCTACTGGAACAAGTCCAGAAGAGGGCCACGAAGACGATCCGAGGGCTGGAGCACCTCTCCTATGAAGACAGGCTGAGAGAGTTGGGGCTGTTCAGCCTGGAGAAGAGAAGGCTCCGGGGTGATCTTATAGCAGCTTTCCAGTACCTAAAGAGGGCCTACAGGAAAGCTGGAGAGGGACTTTTTACAAGGGCATGTAGTGATAGGACAAGGGGCAATGGATTTAAACTGAAAGAGAGCAGATTTAGGTTAGATATAAGAAAGAAATTCTTTACATTGGTGGTGGTGAGGTACTGGAACAGGTTGCCCAGAGAAGTTGTGGATGCCCCATCCCTGGACGTGTTCAAGGCCAGGTTGGATGAGGCTTTGGGCAACCTGGTGTAGTGGAGGATTTCCCTGCCCATGGCAGGGGGGTTGGAACTAGATGATCTTTGAGGTCCCTTCCAGCCCTGACCATTCTATGATTCTATGAATTAATAGGAGAATTTGCATCATGGTGAAGCTTGTTGTGTTCCTCCACATTATTTTCAAATAGTCTAAGTTCAGCATTACGGATCACCCCTTTCCCTTCACTACTTACCCATGCCCTCAGCAAACAAAGATACTGCATCCCAGTAAAAAGCCTTAATTGCAGTATGAACGGCATTACTATATTTTTAAACTTGTGCTTTAAGTAGGGTGGCTTGATCCTGGCTTTTAACTGCTGAAGAAAGAGACCAACTCACACAGTTAACAAGTGATCTGGACAAGACAGAGAGAAAACATGTCTCTCAGCACGCCACAAGCCGTATACAGGAATGATCAAAGACAGGCAACGTGCAACAGAAATGGCACAACAGCTTACTTTTTTTCCTCTGCTTTGCATGTTCTGACAAGAAGTTTTATGACACTCAGTGACTGGATTTAGAAACTCTTAAGAAAATCTGTACGTGTTCACATCAAGGAGAAAACAAACACTAAAATAGCTAATTTGAACTCACAGACAGAATCTGTTATCATCTTGTAAAAATGTTCAGAGCGCTATTCATTGAAAACGCCACCTTTCCACTGTGTCAACAGAGGAGTGATTTTCAGCTAGAGAAAATGCTTTTCCCTGAAATTCTGAAACATTTCCATTCTCATCAGAAAAATAAAGTAATGAATATAAATATTTTTAAGGACTCATAACATGGTCTAAAGGGAGCTCTTCTATCAGAAAGTCCATATGTTAGGAGCAGGACTTGGTTTGCAAATAAAGGTCTGGTAACAAAACTATTTCTTTCAACTGGAACAGTTTCATATTGCAAAACTGTTTATATCAGCATAGTTTATGTCCTACACAGGAATAACCATAAAATAACATTACAATACAATAACTACATGCCTATTATAATTCCATAATAATAGATGGGTTTATGTTTAATAAAGTAACAGTACATTTAAAGCAGTACAGCATATGTTTATAGATAACCCCTGGATACTTACAGTGGAGCACATTAAGCAGATTCTGCAAGACATTCCAAGGAAGATATTCATCAGGGTCTGTTTGATCAATTATCTTTAAAATCATTATGGGACTGGGCTCAAGGGCAAAGACAATAAATATCAAGTCCTTCATTCAACTACTTGGCTATAATACGGAACATGTGCAAAAATAGAAAGTATCCAAGAGCAAATCACTTGCATTCAACAGGACAGCAGCACCAAGTCGTTTGGTGAACAGAGGAGGGGTTTCAGCAATTTTGCTCAGTTGGCATTTATGTTCAGGCAAAGTAAGCAGCCTGCTCCAAAATTTGTGCGAATATACTAATAAGTTGAGTAACTTTACTAGGAAACTCAGTTCCAGGTCAGTGCAGAGTTAAACTAATCATAGAACGGTTAGGGTTGGAAGGGACCTCAAAGATCATCTAGTTCCAAACCCCCTGCCATGGGCAGAGAAAACCTCCACCACACCAGGTTGCCCAAAGCCTCATCTAACCTGGCCTTGAACACCTCCAGGGATGGGGCAGCCACAACTTCTCTGGGCAACCTGTTCCACTGCCTCACCACTCTCACAGTGAAAAATTTCTTCCTTATATCTAATCGAAATCTCCCCTCTTTCAGTTTAAATCCGTTGCCCCTTGTCCTATCACTACATGCCCTTGTAAAAAGTCCCTCTCCAGCTTTCCTGTAGGCCCCCTTTAGGTACTGGAAAGCTGCTATAAGATCACCCCGGAGCCTTCTCTTCTCCAGGCTGAACAGCCCCAACTCTCTCAGCCTGTCTTCATAGGAGAGGTGCTCCAGCCTTCAGATCATCTTCGTGGCCCTCCTCTGGACTCGCTCCAGTAGCTCCATGTCCTTCTTGTGTTGGGGACTCCAGAGCTGAACACAGTATTCCAGGTGGGGTCTCACGAGAGCTGAGTAGAGGGGCAGAATCACCTCCCTGGGCCTACTGGCCACACTTCTTTTGATACAGCCCAGGATATGATTTGCTTTCTGAGCTGCCAGTGCACATTGCCGGCTCATGTTGAGCTTCTCATCCACCAGCACTCCCAAGTCCTTTTCCTCAGGGCTGCTCTCAATCCATTCTCCGCCCAGCTTGTACTTGTGCTTGGGATCGCCCCGACCCACGTGCAGGACCTTGCACTTGGCCTTGTTGAACTTCATGAGGTTCTCACAGGCTCTCCTGTTTCAGACAAATGAAACTACACTGGAGTAGGAATCAGTGCATTGTTACTACCAGTCAATAAAAATGACTTTAAGCCCAGTCATGCCAGACTAAGTCCACGCCTGAAAACAGTACAAGCGTATCCAGCTAAAACGAGGAAGTTTTAATGACTGGACTCATTTGAGCTCTGAAAAGAAAGGCAGTAAAGAAGCAGACAAAATTGTCAGTGGAACAACTTAACATTAACCAAGTCTCAGTACACACAAGGTACTGTTTATATCCATGATACTAATAAGTCATCCGAGATGCTAAGAAAGTTACCCCAAACATAGAGAAAGTCACTGGCTGAACCTGAAATTAATGAGTCGGCAATTTTGATGACCCATATAGTTCTTGTGGTACTATCTCAAGCTGCACTTTCCAACTCATCCAAAGCACCTGCCTGAAAGGTTGTCAATACACAGTTCCAGTTAATGATGGGAAGGACTGCAGTACTTCCTCCTTACTGCCACAGACCCCTGGATGTATCACTGGCCCATAAAAATGACACGAATGAGTGAATAAAGAGAAAGGAAATGAAAATTCTAGCAAGTCTTACTCTTGATCTTGAAAACTGCAGCAAACGCATTGAGTATGCTACAGAGTACCAGTACTCTCCTCCCCCTGCCAGATCCACACAAGCAGACACACAAAATGCCTTTGGACAGCCGTCTAGAGCACCCAGGCCAATAATGAAAACATTCAGGGCAAAAGGAAAATGATCTTATGTTGGTTAAAACAGAACAGTGGACTGGACCCTTTCAGTTTAGTAATGACTGACGTTTACAGGCAATGAGAGCATAGCAAGGGGTAACTGACAAGATTACCTCTCAGCTGGTCACACTACACTCTACGCACAAACAAGCAATTCCAACTGCATTGATCAAGCTACTTAATCTGCTTTGGTGAACAGTCTTCAGATTCACAAACTGCTTTTTCAATTCAAGCTGAGGAAAAAAGCATGGGTTTATATAACTAATTTGGAGCTTTAAAGAAGTAGCTTAAGTCGACAATGTGGTACATAAGATGACAATGATGATACCAGAGCTACGTCTGAAGATAATAATGTCTGTAAAAATGTTCAGATGCTGCCGATAATTTTCATGGAATCATAGAATGGCATAGGTTGGAAGGGACCTCAGAGATCATCTAATCCAACCTCCCTGTCATGGGCAGGGACGCCTCTCAACTAGACCAGGCTACTCAAGGCTCCGTCCAACCTGGCCTGGAACACCTCCAGGGAGGGGACATCCACAACTTCTCTGGGCAATTTATTCCAAAGTCTTACCACCCTCGTACTGAAGAATTTCTTCCTAAGATCTAATCTAAATCTGTTCTCCTTCAACTAAAACGCATTTCCCCTAATTTTGCATTAATTCAAATGATTCTGTGATGAATTGACATAATGCTAAATAAGCATCGAAAAAGTTGGCAGTGTTGTGGTGCAATCAGACCATAAAGCTAGTTTATTGATCTCGTTATCATGTACTCCAGTTGCAAATAAACTGATGAATAGATGTTTCCTCACTCCAATTAAAAGAAGCAAGAAAGACAGTTCCTAAAAAGTAGGAAATAACCAGATCAATAAAACACCAATGTTGCAACAAAAGATGCCTTGCTCTTCTGCAGAAGATCGTGACCAATTTGCTCTTCTCTCCTAATAAAAGTGTAACGTGGGATTACACAAGTGCTCACAAATTAAACTACTGATAAAAGTAGAGAGGAAAGCACAATGACCATAACTAGAAACCATTGTCACATTTACTTGCGTTATGCATTTCAGTCCTCTCATGGCTTTTAGATCATTACCACACGATGGCCTATCTTATATAAAAGACACATAAAAGCATATGCTGTCGAAATATTTAGAGGAAGTTCTTAAATGATGTTTTGCATCACAAATAACATGCTTTCAGCAGCAAGTAGACAAAATCTTCTCAAGCGCCAACAAGAACAAGCTCCAAAACTTCTCTGACGCAACAGTAAGGTAACGAGAACGTTGTACCATGCATGCCCGACAATTGCCACAGTAAAATCTGTGTGTGTGCACGTGTGCATACATATGCACATGTGAGAGAGCAAGATATGAACAAGAATGACAAGGAGGTATAAGAAAAATGCAAACCCATTCCGGCAAACAAGTACTTTCCTTAAAACAGAATTACCTGAGACTCCAATTCTTCCAATTTACGCTTCCTGGTGTGAAGAGCTTTACTTGGAAAGGCCCAGAAATAATTGGAAGTTCCAATTCTATCAGTGTCCACCATGCCATCATCAACCAAACTTTGCAGAATCTCTTTCACTGACATCGAGGCTAATAAAAGCAAAAATATCCAATTAGAAACACATAGCATCTAAACTATGGAGAATTATTAATACCATAAGCTATAATCTACAATCATCTGTATAAATATTTTACTATAATGTCAGCTAGCTGGAAGATTTGAAAAGACACCATGCCTGATGCTTCACTTGAAGGGATGAATCCCTTTGAAATCAGCAGTGTATGTACAAAGGCTGCTATTCTGTACAGTCTGCTACCAGATGTTTGTAAAACAGCACTCATGAGTATCATAAAATATACATGCACATTACAGTACAATACCATAAGAAACTCATGAGAAGATACTTGAGAAGTTGTCTTGCAATCTGAACTCCAACATGGATTAACTTACAATTTCTTGATTAGGAGCGCAATTACATTTCACTTTGTTTTGCTTATCAAAGCATTTAACAGCAGCAAAGGCACTAAAGCCATCTGTCTACAGACTCAGGAGGGGCAGATTGTACTTTTCTTTATATTCATTTCCAATACAGAAAGTTATCTGCAGTCAAAAGGATCCAAAACATTTCTGAACACAATCATTCATTTTCTAGCAAATGTGTGGTATAATTCACCATTTTAAAAGTGATACCTCTTCAGCAATGCAAAGTCTTTACATCTTCAACACTTGAGGATAATAATAAAGACTTTTGAGCTAATTTATGGTTTTCAGTGTCTGACTTTCAATTTCAAGTCTAAAGAGAATCCCAGACCAGGAACACCCAATCTTTTGGAAGCTATAGGCTGGATGCCAGTATGGAGGCATTTCCAGAGGCCAGATGTTTTTCTTTTCAGAGTAACTAAGGCTGGGGTTGTGTGGCTAAATGCCTTCGTATGCAGAGGCAGGGTGAATTTGGACTACTCAAAGGTATCAATGGTTTTAGAAACTCTACACTCTGGATTTTTAAATATGAAATTCCATTGCTTGTATTTACTGTTTTACATCCTCTTCCTGCAAATTACAATCAAACGTAAGCATTGACAAACCAATCAAGACAGCACCACTTCTCTTCAGGAGCCTGTGAGTGGCTCTGCTAGCTGCTGACATAACTGAAATCCACTGCTTGGCGATATTCACGTATGTCTGCAGTTCCTTCAACAAGTTCATTTACTCTCGCAATGCCACGAAGACGTGCTAGCCAAGGACAGTGGCAACTACACAAACATTATGCTTCGCCCCCCTTTTGTCAACGAACACAGAAGGAAGCAGAATGAAACATACAAAACAACTCACCAGCATAAGATAAATCTTCTTGGAACTAATCTTAAAGCAACAGATCTCATCAGGAAAGGTTTCCATTTAAAAGACAAATTCCTTCCTTTTACAGCTGTCCAGCCATTTTTTGGGGGGGAAAAGCTTAACATAACATTGACCATGTACATCTGGACTAGCATTTTAAGATTTCTGTGACGTTACAGACAGACATTTAAATTCTCTGTTCACTACCTGAGTACACATAACGATTTCATAGACTGAAAGTCACTGCAAGTCAGGCATCTCACAGCCCAGGAAAAAAAAAACATCCCGTGTTTTAGTGGTCAACCTGGAGTTAGCTGTGACATTTTAATAATCTCCCACTTTGGCCCTAACACCTGTCGTAAGTGACAAACATTAGCAAATCGAGGTAGGAATATGCTGTTGATGTCACTTTTAATGCTACAGCCCTGCCATTGACCAGTCTCCCTTTCTAGCTATTTTTTCTGTTATTACAATCACAAACCTAAAATAGTAGCCAGGAAAATTTACACTGTATGACCTGTCCCAAAAACGATTAATGGCTCAAGAGAAGTGACTTTTGTAAACACTTACTAATCCCTTTTTCTTTTGGAGCAATCTTCTCTATATCCTTCAACTGGAACACATCTTTCTGTGCAAAACATAAAAGACACTTCAGCTCCAAACGACAGCATCATCTAAGCTTGTGTGTTTTTTATCCTAAATCAATGCCAACAAAAGCAAGTAGGAAATACATTGCATGTTTATGTTTTGCTAGGGAAATAGGCTGCATATCCCCCAATAGAATTAGAACATTCTGAGAATTAAATAATAATAATAATAAAAAAAGACTATTATTGTAACAAGCCCTGTTCTTTTCTTTGGTGCTCTAAACTCACCATATTTTGTCTCCAGTTAGACTGTAAACCCCTTCGGACAGGCAGAGCCCAGGTTAGATTGTCAGCACCAGATGCACCACATTGCTCAAGTACTCAAATGTCAAAATAATTTTCTTAATATGTGAAACATTGTGAATAGCGTATGTCACCAATACAATTGCAGCTCTGCTTTTGGATCTCCAGGTTTTTTTCTTCCCAGTGACCTCTTCCAGGTCTCCCCTCATCTTTTCTAATGCTCAGATTTCTTCCTCCTCTCGTACACTGCAGTGAGATACTTCCTGCTGTCTTACTACCCCTCTTATGGTAACAGACTCAAAACAAGATTGAAATAGGGAGCACATGAAGCATTGAACCCCACCTGCGCATCTTCATGCCCTGGCTCCACCCAGGGACAAGCCACCTGATCAGAAGCTACACGAATCAAGCTCTGTCTCTATAATTAATTTATACATTGATGACACAGGGCATCAGTGACACGCACAGTGGGAGATAACAGAGTTCATCTATGTCTACAGTTAAGCTCCTTTTAGGACCCGTTTTCCCACCAATGTAAATGCAGGACAATTACAGGTTACTTACTGTTTCAAAAAAGATCTCCATCATGCGAACTCTCTTCTCCTCAAAGCTCAGACCTTTTTTCTTGGACTAGAACAGGGGAAAAAAAAAAACAACACTCCAGCACATTCAGCTACTTGAATAATTAACATCTGCTCAGAATTAAAATCTATTTACCGCTAAGTCATATTTGACATCTTTTAAAATACCTTACCTCTAACCCCAGACTTTTGAAATAAACTACTTCTTCCCAAAGAATCATTACACCAAACAAATCCACCTGCCATCTATTAAACTGAGGGCCCTAGATTCTAAGTTTGGAGCCAACCTCTCAAGCAATCCAACCCAGCTCAAGTGAAATAGGATGTTGGCAGACAAATGTAGGCCGTTTAGGTTTTTTTAAGGAGATAAAGTGCCATTTTGAGGTACTACGTTTTCCTTCAAATTTCCTACCCAATTTGATAATGTCAAGGTCCTATTTCAAAAACTGTGTTTCTTTTGTTTCTTTTCTCTGCAGTTCTGTGACCAAGCAGCAAATAACAGGGATTGGAACAGAACAAAAGACAGAAACCACTACTCACAAACTGCTACTGGTAATACAAAACTGAGAAATATCCTCCTCTGATCACTTTCAGAGACACTATTTTGACATGCCCCTTGTAAAATCAGGATATAAAATATTTCACAGAGAACTGGAGTTTTATTAATAGTGTTTAGCATAGTTCTCAACAACCCAAAAGCAGTGGCTATAATGTGAATCAGGAATGTTTCCCCTTGCCCCACTCCCTGCTTCACAGGCTGCGAGACCCTGCAGTGCTGCGTGCGGCTACAGGAAACTGAAAGGGGGATAAAAAGAGTGAAATAGGATGTTGGCAGACAAAGGTCTCTTTTTTTTTTTAAAAAAAAAAAAAAAAGACATAAATACTGTTGCCCTTAAGTCAATAGAAGTGGGAATTCTAATAACATGGTGTTTTGAGAAAGACGACATGGGTTTGTTTCCAAGCCCTGACAGAAGGGAGTCGATACCATTTTTTCCTTCTTAATCGCTGCTTCCTTCTTAAATAAATCACACGGTAGGGCAGTGTAACATTTAAAACGTGCATCAAGAGCAAAATGGCCAGATTGATTTAGATTTTAAAAAATAAATTTAAAAACTAGCTTATGCAGCTACAATAATACACAGACATGAACAGAAGTTATTTCAGTATTATATTTAACAAATGTACTATTAATATTTCTTAAAGTTCCCTCCCTTCTGCTTTGGCCAGTCATGCCCTACATCAGCACTGACTCCACAGCTGTCTCCTATGATGTCAGGATGCTACGTGAATAGAACCTGGACCTGCCAGGTTCATGTACATGCAAGTATGAACAGAGAACAGACCGATCAACTTCTTTCCCCTCGCCTTCCCAAACAGCCCTAACACCGTCAGCAGCAACAGGAACAAACCCATATGCACACGATGCGCCTCCTGAAAACACGTGCTTATTAGCGAAGTCCCCCAGGCACCAAGTTTCACACCAGCACTCCAACAAACAGATAGAAGTAACAAATCAATGCCTTTTCCAGATAAATTTTATTCATTTTCACGTTGATTTCTCTCTCCTACCTTTTTGCCCGGTGTTCCACGCCACGAACACAAAACACGCCACGCACACCAGTCTCACTGTCACTCACACCACCGAAGGCGCCGCAGGGACGCGGTGCTGTTAAGGGCACCCGGGAGCACCAGCAGCTCCTTCTGCTCGCACCCACCTCCGCGGCCCGCGCACGGCCCGGCCTGCCCGCACC